GAGTAAAGATAGCCTCTTCAACAAATGCTGCTGGGAAAACTGGAAATCCATATGGAACATATGAAAATAGACCCCTATCTCTTACCCTGCACAAAACTCAAATAGATCAAGGACTATAGCATTAGAACAGAGATTCTATGCCTACTAGAAGAAAAAGTAGACCCAAGTCTCCAACATGTTAACTTAGGAACCAAATTCCTCAACAAGACTCTTAATGCATAAAGAGTAAAATCAAGACTCAATAAAAGGGATGGTATCACACTTAAAAGCTTCTTCACAGCAAAAGAAACAATCAAGAATGTTGAGAGCCTACAGAATGGGAGAAAATCTTTGCCACTTGCACTTCAGCTAGAGATTTTTCTCCAGGATATATAAAGAACTCAAAAAACCCAACACCAAAAAATCAAACAACCAATCAATAAATGGGCAAAGGAACTGAACAGACATGTCATAGAAAATAAAATATAATAGTTGAGAAAATATATGAAAAAGAGTCAACATCTCTAGCAATCAGACAAATGCAAATTAAAACTGAGATTTCATCTGACCCCAGTCAGAATGGCAATTATCAAGAATACAAGCAACAATAAATGTTGCTGAGGATGTGGAGAAAAAGTACCCTGGTGGTACTGCAAATTGGTGCAACCACTCTAGAAAGCAGTGTGGAGATTCCTCGGGAAACTTGGAATGAAACTACCGTTTGACCCAGTTATCCCACTCCTCAGCATATACCCTGAAGATTTAAAATAAGTATACAATAGTGATACAACCAAATCAATGTTTATAGTAGCTCAATTCACAATAGCTAAGCTATGGAACCAGCCTAGGTGCCCTTCAAGAGATGAATGGATAAAGAAAATGTGGTATATATACACGATGGAATATTAGCCATAAAGAAGAATGAAATTATGGCATTTGCCAKTAAATAGATGGAGTGAAATAGGCCATTTCAAATAGGCCATGCTAAGTGAAAAAGGCCATTTCCAAAAAATAAGGCTGACTATTCTTTCTGGTATTCGGATGCTGAATCACAAGTGGGGGAGGAAAGGGGCTTCACCAGGTTGAACAGGTTGAACAGAGTAGAGTGGGAGGAAGAGAGGAGGCATGAGAATGGGAAATACAGTGGAATGAATCAGACATACCTTTCCTATGTTCATACATGAATACATAACCAGTGTAACTCCACAACATGTTCAACCACAAAAATAGGAAGTTAAACTCCATTTATATGTGATATGTCAAAGTGCATTCAACTGTCATATATAACTAAAAAGAACAAAAAAATTTAATTCAACATAGGATAAAGGGGATAACAGTAAAGGGTTCAATTCTGAGAAAACATAGCAATCCTGATCATGCATGCATCTAACAACAAAGTAAACTACATGAGGCAAAACTGATAAAACTGCAAGGAGAAAGATGAATCCATCATTTTAGCTGAAGACTTCTACACCCCTAGATCTGAAATGGATGGATTCAGCAGGCAAAGTCAGCAAAGACACAGTTAAACTCAACAATACCATTAATCATGTAGACATAATGAATATCTGTACACTACTTTATCCAACAGCAGAATATATATCTTCAAGCTCACATGGAGAGTTCGCCAACACAGAACACATTCAGGGCTATAATACCATAAAATTTTTAAAACACTAGAAATCATACATTGTTTACTCTCTGACACAAAAGAATTAAACTAGCAGCTAATAACTCAAAAATTCCAAGATGTGTGACAATTAAAACTACTTCTAGCAGGTCAAAGTACAAATTTCAAGGAAAACTTAAGTATTTTGAATTAAATCAAAATCAAAGTAAAACTTAGGAAATTTTTTGGAAAGCAACAAAAGTAGTACTTAGAAAAGGAAGTTCACAGCACTGAGTGCAAATAACTAAAAATCAATCTGTTTCCCAATTTAGGAAACTAGAAAAAGAGGAACAAATTAAATCCAAAATATCTAAAAAAAAAAAAAAAAACATAAGTAGAAATTAATGTAACTGAGAAAAATAGGTTCAAAAAAGAAATCAAAAAGGTGTTTCTTTGGTAAGTATTTTTTTTTTAAAGAAGAAGAAAATTACACCACAGTAAATCTCTGGCCAAAGAGGACACAAAATATCAAAAATAAAATAGGGATCATCATTCATATATATATGAATATATAATCATATTAAAAGGATAAAAAGTAATATGGATAAAAAGAAATATTGTGAACAATACTATGCCCATAAATTTGATAATCTAGATGAAATGTACCAACTGCTTGAAAGACAATTTCCCCAAATTCCAACAAGAGGAAATAAACATTATGAATAGCCTTATATCTATTAAAGTAGTCAAATCAATTAAATAATTCTGAAACAAAGTGGCAAACATGGATGAGTTTACTTAAAAATTCTACACAACAGTTAAGGAAGAAATATCAATTCTCCAATCTCTCTCTCAGAATATAAAAGTAGAGAGAATATTTCCTAACTCATTCTATGAAGCCAACATCCCCTAAAACCAAAAACTATATATGTTATAGGAGGAAAAAAAGTACATATAGAATGATCTATCATAATCAAAATTGCAAAATTCTCAAAAAAATTAGCAAATCAACCCAGAAACATATAAAAATAATTCTGCACCACAAGTGGGATTTAACCCAGGTATTCAAGAATGGTTCAACAKTCAAAACATCAATTAAAATAATCTACCACATTGACAGGCTTAGCACAAGTCACATGAGCATATCAATAGATGTAAAAAAAAATCTGATGAAATGTAATTCACAGATTTTATATCCACACAAAAAGGATATTGTCACAATCCTTAACAATGAGAAATCAAGTTTTGCAACTAAGATCAAGAGCAGCAAAGGGATGCCTCCTCTCACCACTGCTTTTCTACATATTACTGGCAGTCCTAATTAATGCACTAAGACAAGAAAAAGAAAAAAGCCATACTGATTGTGAAAGAAAATATAAAATTATCCTTGTTCATGGATAACATATCTATTTGAAAAAATCACAAAAAAAAAAAAATAGACAAAAACATTCCAGGAACTTGTAACAATGATAGCAAGGTTTCAAAATTCAAAGTTAATACATACAAGTCCATCATTTACCAGCAATGACTAAGTGGAAACTAAGATTAACACAGTGCCATTTACATTGGGACCAAAAATAATAATAATAATAATAACCTGAGGTATGAATTTGACAAAATATGTATAAAATCTATATTAAGAAAACTACAAAACTCTGATGAAAGAGGTCAAAGAGTAACTAAATCAATGGAAAGATAATCCATGTTCAGAGAGATTTAATGTTGTCAATATGTCAGTTCATTCTCCATTTGATCTATAGATTCAATATAATCCAAATCAAAATTCCAGCAAGTTATTTAGTGGATATCAATAAATTTTAAACTTTATATGGAAAAGGTAAAGACCCAGAAAACTGAACACAATAGGAAATAGAACAAATAGGGGGACTGATATTACCCAACCTCTCAAGTCTTAGTATAAAGCCACAATAATCAACACAATGAAATAAAGTTACTCTTTCCAACAAATGGTATTGAAACTGGACACCTACCTGCAAAAATATGCATCTAGACACAGACTCTACATCTCTTATAAAAATTAACTCAACATGGATTATAAATGTCAATGTAAAACACCAAAGTACAAAATTCCTAAAAGAAAATATGGGGGGAAAATCTATATGACTCTAGGTATGGCAATGGCTTTAGAGGTAACACCCAAGGCCTGATCYATGAAAGAACTGATGAGATGGACTTCATTTAAATTAGAAATATCTGTTCTGTAAAAGACCATGTCAAAATTATGTGGAGATAGTCACAGAATGGGAAAAAGTATATTCAAAAGACATCTGATATAAAAAGATATGCACAAAGAAGTCGTAAAATTTAACACAAACAATCCAATTTTAAAATGGGCCAACAACCTTAATGCACATCTCCCCAAAACAGATGGCAAATAAACATAGGAAAAATAGTACACATCCTTCATCATCGAGGAAATGCAAACTAAAGCAATGAAATACCACTACATACCTATTGAAATGACCAAAATTGAAAACACTCACAATCCCAAATGGTGACAAGGATTGGAGTAATAAGAATATTCTCATTCATTGCTGGTGAGAATGAAAAATGGTACAGTTTGCTTATCTAAGAAAAAAAATCAAATACTCTTTCCCAACAATCCAGCTATTATGTGCCTTGATAGTTACTCAAAGAAGCTAAAGTTTTATATCAGCACAAAAATCTGCTTGTGGATATTTCTTCATAACTGCCAAAATAAGAAACAATCAAAATGTCCTATGGTAATGAATGAATAAACTAGAACATCCATACAATGGAATATTTTTCAGCACTAAAAAKAAATTAGCCTTTAAGCCATGAAAAAAAGGAACTTACATATATTTTATATTAAAAAGTGAAATATATTAACCTGGAAAAGCTACATACTTTATGATTTGAACAATATAACATTCTGGGAAAAGCAAAACAATGTAAACAGTAAAAGACTGGTGTTTGCCAGAGTGGAGAAAGTGGGATAAATAGACAATCATGGAGTAGTTTCAGGACAGTAAAAATACTATATATGATACTGTAACAGTGAATACAAGTCCTCCCACATTTGTTCAAACCTATAAAATACACAACATAAAGAGAAAATCCCACTATGGACTTCAGATTATAATGATGTCAGTGTAGGTTGTTAAACTGTTACAAATTCATCACTCTGTTGGGATGTGTTGATAACTGGGGGAGGTTATGTATGTGTGGGGTAAGGGCTATATACAAACTCTCTGCACTTTCTCCATAGTTTTCTGAAAACCTAAAACTTCTAAAATATATTAGTTTTTACTTTAAAATTTCAAACCAGACAGCTGAATGGGTTAGGAGGAAAAGGGAAATAAATRGAGATAAGCAAACATAATAATTTCATGCCTTTACTTTTCTAATAACATTAACCAGTAGCTCTTACTTGATTTCCTTCACAGGTACTTTTTTCTGGAGAAGTTGTTGCACCATCCCTTTTTCTTCTGAGGGAAGCAAAATTAATAAAGCTTCACCATCCTCTTTGTACCTACACAAACAACAAAAATTAATACATCAATGCAATCTATATTTTACATGTTAACAGTATAAGTAAGTAACACAGTCAATTCATCTAATTGTAAATATTAAGAATCCAAATTTTTCATCTTCTGTGACAACAGAAAACTAGGGCTCTGACCACCTTATATCAAATTCCATCACTTATTATAATTTCTAGTTACTTTAAGGCTGTGCCTTAATAGAAGTGCTAGCTTCCAAGAAAGAAATCAATTCAAGATGATTTCTTAAATAGCTTCCTACCCACACAGCAAGAAGATAATTTTTCACACAAGCAACTAAGAAAATGTAAATAAAATTAGTCATTTAATAAACAGAGCACCCTAATATATAAATTAAATCAATTCATCTTCCTGGAAATTTTATTAATGCCTCTGGAATAAAATTGTTCAGAGGCATCAGTATGAAGAAAAACACTCAGGTAAAACACATGCCTCCAATTCTTGCATCTTCTCTTCCCTCACCTAAACAGATAACCTTATTTCATTCTGCACCTTCAGAAATTTGTATTGACATAGGTCATAAAGCATCCTCTGGTTATTTAAGCTTTCGGTACTATTTGTATACAGATCTTACTAATAATACTGTAAGGTCAACTGTTACATATAAAAAGTCAAACAGATTAAGATTGGGTATTTGGGAAATTTTTTAAATAAACCAAACAAAAAAATCTCAAAGCACTCTAAGATTCATGCTACAAAACATGAGTACATTTTATATCAGATCAAATATGATTCAAACATAAACCAAAGAACACACAAAAAAACAAAAATGAAAACTGATCTTCAGGGATCTAACACTAAAGTTGACTAAGATAAACATCACAGAAGCAAGAGATTCAAGATGACAGTTACAGAATGGTGAATAAGTCAGTGCCAAAGGACAGCCACAAGCAATAAATGTTATCAACTCACAAGTAAAGAGCCTACCCAGGGGCTGGAGTTGTATCTCACTAGTAGAGTGCTCGCCTAGCATGTGGTTGAAAACTGGGTTTCGATCCTCAGTACCACATAAAAATAAATACAATAAAAGTATTGTGTCCATCTACAACTAAAAAAAAATTACGAGACTACTCAGGGCAAGCCACAGGGCTGGAGAGAAGGGTTTATATTAAAAAAAAAAAAAAACTGTGTGTGTGTGTTTGTGTCTATGACCGTGTCATAGCTGATGGAATTTTAGGTAAGTCTTGAATATGAATAAAAAGGGAAAAGCTATATACTTTTTAACATGATCAAAAGAATAGAAACCAAAAAATGCAAGGCTAATTCAGTTTTTTTTATTTGTTTGTTTTTAAAGGAGTAATGCAAAGCTGTAATACAAAATGGATAGCAGAGAAGAGTACTAAGATACATTAGAGCCTGACTTTAGAGACTTTGGATGTCTCTGCAGAGATTCAGAACAATTATATGCTTGCAGAATTTTATTACTGAATGCTGAAGGGGAAAACTGGCCATAACAACTTACTGAAAAATGGTAGTATACTTTATTTTGAAGACTGAGGGMAATTTTTACCTTATATGTTGACTTTAAAACTCAACTATTCTACATAAGGTAAAACTTCAGTAAGAAAAAAATAAATACCCTTGTATGCACAAAGGATATGAAATAAAACACATAAAATATTGTTTCTTAGATAATTCAGTAGCTTTAAATTCTTTTTATTAAAGGTACTCTATGTGCCAAAAGCTAACATAGTAGGAAAATAGACATGGTTTTGGCTGTTAAAAGCTCATGGCCTATTGCCACAGACATTAAAATCAAAGGCTATGAGTGTTACAATATACATACAGGAAGCTGTAAGGACATGACAGAGCTCTAGCTAAGTAGTCTAGGTGTCAAGCAAACTGTCCTGAAGAAATTATATCAAAGCTAAGACCTAAAGAATAAAGAATTAGTTTAACATTAGGGTTAGGAATATAAATGGTGGAGTCAAGTTTACAGGGAAAGGGTAGAATTTCAGAGTCTAGTGGATACTTTTGTCTTCATAATTATTTGCTTTTTCTAGTAAAACTGAAAATAGCTTATTCCTTAATTATGTTTCATAACTAAAAAACTAGTACCAAATAACTTCTTTGTTGTACTTTAATGCAGAATTATGACTCAAAAAAGTTTTTCATCTTTTTTTTTCTTTAAAAAAAATGGGGGGAGGATTTAAAACATTCCCCCTAGCAGTTTTAGACTAACCTGTGATGAAAGCAGAATGTATTTGTAACAAGGTGACATCCTGAGTARATATAATATCTGAGAGACATCACAATTTCTGCAGCAACAAGACCATACCAGGGACCTGGTAAGAGTCGAAGAGGACCAGAATCAGCTAACGAAGCAGTATTTTTACCAAGATGCTCTCAGGGCAGTCAGACTCTGGAAGTGAAATTAATTGCCTTCTGATGGTATTCTGTAGCTACTAGAAACAGTTAGGAAGGAGGAAAAACAGTGGGCTAAGGAGAGTCAACACTTCAAATCTTCCACATCCAAATTCAGGGACAGCAAGATGCAATAAACAAGCCCACAAGTTTACACAGGGTAAGAATTGTGGCCAAGGAGTAAAAGAAATCTCTGGAAGGTCAAAAAGGCTGAATTTAACATTCCGTGATCTTCCAACTGACTCATGAGCAAGAAAAATAAGGCTAGTCACCCACATCTATCATACCCTACCGATTCATGCATCCAAGGAGAACCTGAGAGAATGAATCAGGATTCAAGTCACAAAAGGAACCATGTCCAAACCTTTTAATGTTACAGCTAACAGAATATACATAAACAGCTTCACATGGTTAAGACAGACTGTAACAGTGACATTTAGAAGAAACACATTCCAAAAAGAATTTGAAAAATGATGTGCAAAATCAAATCCCACAAGATATGCAGCTATTAAGATCATTACCAACGATTTCACCCATTTTAYGTATACATCTCTTCCCTAAAACAACATAAAGCACAAATTATCTCCAACTAATACCCAAAAATATCCAGTAAACTTTTATTCCAAGAATAAAAGTACTTTTACAGAGAAGGCATAAGCCCACTTCATTTTTCTAATGCTTACAAGAAAAAAAGTCTATTTACCCATGAGCTAGCTTTTAGATTTCAAAAGCAATATCCCAGGCCCAAAGCTCACATGTGTAAGAGAAATAAATGTTCTTCTAAGACCTAAATTTTAAAATTCCATATATTTGGATAGATTATTTTAAGAGACATCCCAGGCATTTCAGAAAGTTCTGTATCTGAAACAAAATTTCATTTTCATCATCAGTATTAATTCCATGTAGCATTTACACAACTCTTTCCAGTTTTTTAAGAACTTCATTCACTTTAATTTGTCAATCCTAAAAAGAAAGAAACCAAGAGAAGAAGCAAATGAAGTCCCTGACAGACCAAGAAGCTGGCCTCAAGCCAGCTGGTCACTAAGTTTCAAAGATTTAAATTTTTAATCCATGCTTTTTTAATTATACAAGAAACAAAGATCCTCAAGAGATTGATCATAACTGTCTAACTCACATAAAGAACATACTCAAATCCTGCAGTCCACTAGTATTTCTAGATAAATAAGATGTCCAGACTATTGGCTTGAGTACACATGGCAATTCCTCCATTGAAATAACACGCAAACAAACTGGCCAAAGCAAGGAAAGCAGTCTTGCTATTTTGGCAACAATGTGCCTTTTTCCCCCAAAGTCAATAATCTTTAACTATTCCATTTCAGATTACCCAAACATCAATGCCATTCTAATTGAGTCTCTAATTATCCCTTAAAGTTTGCTCACTGATAGTGCCAACTACTGTCCTACTACAACATGACTGTTTACAAAAAACTGTATGGACAGTTCTCCATGTCACAAGCTGGGTTATAAAAGGGTCTATTTAGAACAATTCCATTTCGGTAATTTTAAAAAATAAGTATATACATATAGCATACATTAAAATTTTTCTATTTAGGGATTTTGGAGATTTTGTCATTATTGCCTGTGTTGCCATTTTGGTATTATTGCATCAGTGTAGTGATTAAGCACTGCTTTTATAATAAAATAAACAAGTTATTAAAAACAAGTAAAAGCCAGACATAGTGGCAAATCCTAGAGACTTGGAAGCCTAAGGGAGGATCTCAAGTTTGAGGACAGCTTTGGCAGCCTCAACCCTATCTCAAAATAAAAAATAAAAAGAACTGAGAATGTGGTTTAGTGGTAGAATGCCCAACTTCAATTCCCAGTACTGCCAAATAAATAAAAACAAGTAAAAAAAAAAAAAAAATACCTGCTTTGAAACCCATGTCTTTTGCATCACTTATCTAGCACCAATATTAATGTAATTCTTTATTTGACCATCTAATTTGAAGATACAACAGTTTTTCAATAAATATTTGTGAATGGATGAAAGCAAATGAGCACTAGACACATTATCAGTGATAAGAGGCTAGATTTGGAATAGAAAGAACTAGATTCCAGTCCTRTTGTACTGTTCATTAGCTGAATAACTTTGTATAAAACACTTCATCACCATTTACCGCATTTTCTGATTCATACAGTATACAACTGAATCTAGGTTTCCTTTAGGATCAAAATTCTATAATTCTGACTATTAATAAACTATAGACATTGTTCACAATACGAGCATCATCAAGAGACAGATAAGTCGGGCGTGGTGGTATACGCCTATTATCCTAGTAATTCTGAAGGCTAAGACAGGAGGATTCCAAGTTCAAGGCCAGCTTCAGCAACTTAGTGAGGCCCTGTCTCAAAATAAAAAATAAAAAGGGATGGGGATGTAGCTCAATGAGAAAGCACCCCTGGGTTCAATCCCTAGTACCTACCCCCCAAAAAAGAAAAAAAGGAGACATTTGTTGATGACCCCTTACTATTCTATAGTCCCTTCTCTTTTACCCTCTCTATATCTCCTACTATTCTCCCTGTATCTCAGCCTTACCGTGACAACCATACCTAAGATTTCATGTCACTGTGGGAGAAAAGTACA